GAACAAAAGTTGTGCAAATTGAAAAGATCTATCATTTGAAATCAAGAAATAGGGGCTGGCCCCTTTAACTAAGGGTTTAAAGGGCCAGAAAGTCTTTTCTTAATATCTTTTAAACGGTAAATATTTTGTTATACATTACTGAAGCAAATATGTTTATTTTAACAATATGCAACCATATATTATAATTTTATGATCATATGTTACGTAATTAGGGGCCACAAGGGGCCAGAATGCTAAATCTTTGACACTTCGTATCTCGAAATGGAGAAATATTTTGAAAAGCAATATTGAACAAAAGATGTTCAGAATAATGTTCTAAACAATATGCAACCTTTGAATTTTTGCTAAATGACCCCATTAAGGACTTTGAGGGCTGGCCCCTAAATATTTCTTATATACATATCTCGGAAACGAAAAGGAATTTCTGAATAGTTGTTGAACAAATATTATTCAAATTTATGAGAGCTTTCTTTTGACATCAAGAAAAAGGGACTGGCCCCTCAAATTAGACTGGCCCCTTTTTCTCAAAAAGTAATGGGCGCACTAAGCTGAAATTTTCAGTAAATGTTTATTCATCATATTTAAGTGAATCAAATTAGGGGCCTAGGGGGGCCAAAAGTCTTTAATCTATATCTCTTTAATGATCAATATTTTGTTATTCATTACTGAAGCAAATATGTTTATCTTAACAATCAGCAACTATATATAATAATGTTGTGATCATATGTTACGTAATTAGGGGCCACAAGGGGCCAGAATGCTCAATCTTTGACGCTTCGTATCTTGAAATGGAGAAATATTTTGAAAAGCAATATTGAACAAAAGATGTTCAGAATAATGTTCTAAACAATATGCAACCTTTGAATTTTTCCTAAATGGCCCCATTAAGGACTTTGAGGGCTGGCTCCTAAATATTTCTTTTCTACATATCTCGGAAACAAAAAGCAATTTCTGAGTAATTGTTGCACAAAATGTATTCAAATTTAAAAGATCTTTCTTTTGATATCAAGAAAAAGGGGCTGGCCCCTCAAATTAGGGGCCTAGAGGGGCCAAAATGCAATATTTTGATTCTTTACTGAAGCAAATACTTTATCATAACAATCTGCAACTATACATAATAATGTTATGATCATAAGTTACGTGATTAGGGGTCATAAGGGGCCAGAATGCTAAATCTTTGACGCTTCGTATATCGAAATGGAGAAATATTTTGAAAAGCAATATTGAATAAAAAGATATTCAGAATAATGTTCTTAGCAATATGCAACCTTTTCATTTTTGCAAAATCGCCCCATTAAGGACTTTAAGTGCTGGCCCCATTTAAATATTTCTTTTCTACATATCTCGTTTTTATTTTTTTTCCCTTCATCAGTATCTCAGAAACGGTTCGATGAATGTTCATGAAACTTTTGGAGATGATAGGAAATGAAAAGTTCTCGAGATGTTTTTTTTTTTTGTTTTTTGTTTGATGACGTCACTTCCGGTCGCGAGTAATAATTTTTTTGCAGCGATTTTTTTTCTGTCCTACTCCTCCTACAGTGGTTAAGATAAAACTTCGAATCTTTCACGAGTGATAGACTGTCATTTATAGATGTGCACCTGTCTTTTCAAATTTTAAAAAAGAATTAAATTTTTGAAATTTCTATATTAAAAAAAAATCAACTTATTTATTTTTTATCCGATTAACAAAATTTTAAACTACCTTATAGATCTTAATGAGACCTTTCCAATGCTATTTTTCTTTTTATTGTAAGTGCAGTATTAAGGAAAATACTTGCTCAGGTAAGTTACGGATTTAACATTGCACTATACACGTTATCGCTATTTTTAGTAAAAATCACGCCCACCTGTCAAGTAACTCATAGCACGTGCTGATCCTTCTAGAAGGTTCTAGAAATAATGTGACTTGTGTTCAAGATTTGTCGTTAACAGAAGGACCAATCTTTGTCAAATTATTAGTCAAGGTAGAATTTTAAAATTTTAAAAAAATCTTCAAAAGCGCATAAATTTCATAGTTTTCCATGTTCATGAATGGACTGAAATAGAAAATTAATCATTTTAACAGTCTTGGGTGAAATATAATAATTTGTCAAAATAATGGACCTTTTAAAAAAATTTTAAAAATCAAAATACAAAAAATACGACATTTAATCTATTTTAGAAGTCATTCAAGGTCAGGTCCTGTCATTTGAAAGCTTTTAGAGATGGAATTCGAGGGCATTTTAAAAAAAAATTAATTAAATTAAATTTTCTTAAAACAGTGAAATTAAACTCTTTTTCATCAATTTGATGGTCATAAGTATAAGATAAAATAAATTTTAAAAATTTAATTTTTAACAGAAATTGAATTCCTTCCAAACGTTTAAATAAGGTCATATTCGGTATTTTGAAAGGCCGAGAACATGATATCCAGTCATTTGGAACTTTTTGAACGTTTTGGAGGTCAAATAAGATGGAATTTAAAGAATGTAAATTAAAATTTTTTACACAAAATCAGGACGTAATATAACACCTGGAAAATGCGGGTACGTTAGGAAATATGAAATTAATCACCTACAAGCAGAAAAATCCATAGAAAATAATAAATTACAATACATATAACATAACTTTTCTGCATTAAAGTCATCACTAAATAAAATAATGAATTGAAATTAGTAAACTATTCTCCATCACACATTCTCTTTTACGATCGGGTTCGTCAGTCGACAATTTGTAAACAGAGTACAAGAAGCCCATGGGCCACATCGCTCGCCTGAGCACTTTGGCTGCAGAAAAAAAGAATTCAGTTCAGTATTGAAAAGTTAAAATATATAAGTGGTCCCAACCTAACCCCCCCCCCACCCCCTCTACACAATCTACACAACCTGAGGATGCTTCTGTATTAATATGGATAATAACAGCTTTCCTGTTCTTGACAAGAAGAATTTTAAGATATTTTCAACATATTCATACATAAACTTTTATCTCCTGTTGTGGCCCCACCCTACCCCCAGGGGTCATCATTTGAACATTCTTGAATCTACGCTACCTGAGGCTGCTTCTGATTTTTTTTTTATCATGGCACTGCTGTTCTTGAGAGGAAGATTTTTTAAAGATATTTTCTATAAATTCCTATGTATAACTTTGATCTCCTGTAGTGGCCCCGCCCTACCCCAGGGGTCATTAATTGAACAAACTTGAGTCTACACTACCTGAGGATGCTTCTTTATTAATATGACTTATGATGGTTTTGCTCTTCTTCAGAAAAAAGATTTTAAAAGATTTTTTCCTATATATTTCAATGTAAAAATTTGATCTCCTATTGTGGCCCCACCCTATCCCCAGGGGCCTTGATCTGAAGAACTTGGAATCTACACTACCTCAGGAAGCTTTCACATAAGATTTATGTTTTCTGGTCCAGTGATTCTTGAGAAGAAGATTATTAAAGATTTTTCCTATATCACTGTAAAATTTTTATCCCCTATTGCGGTCCAACCCTACCCCTGGAGGCCATGATTTTAACAATTTATAATCTGCACAACCACAAGAAACTTTCACACAAGTTTCATCTTTTCTGGCCCAGTGGTTCTTGAGAAGAAGATTTTTTAATGACCCCACCCTATTTTCACCTTAATTATGTCCCCTTCGAAGAGGGCTTGGCCCTTCATTTGAACAATTTAGAATCCCCTTTACCCAAGGATGCTTTGTGCCAAATTTAGTTAAAATTGGCCCAGTGGTTCTTGAGAAGAAGTCAAAAATGAAAAAAAAAGTTTACAGACGGACGGACGGACGACGGACAACGGGTGATCAGAGCTCACTTGAGCTTTCAGCTCAGGTGAGCTAAAAATTACAAGAAAACAGGTGTTCAACCATAAAGCAAAGGTTTATATACTAAAGGATGCCAATTAAATGTCCCTGGCATTTGAAGTAAGTTAAAATTGCTTCATTTGAATAGCTAAGGCACTCAAAACATACGGTCACTCAAAACATGCACAAACTATTTCAACACCTGCAGATTACTTGAACTTGTCGTTAATCTTTTATAAATTGCATGAAAATTTTAGATAATAAAAATCCCTCCAATTTTAAGTATATATACCCATTTACAAGTTTATCTCAACATCTCTACAAAAAATGTCAACAATAACCTTCATAAAATCACTGGAACTATGTATAGACAGTGGTCTCATTACCTAATTGTAATTCACTACATATACCTAGGGTTTTCCTTGTCTCATGTACATTTGACAACTGATATTAACATTTTCCACAGAGAATCAGTTTGAAAATATTTGATACCCACTTTTCCATTCAGGTTAATATATGATGTTACAAACTGTCAAATTTTCCTTTCTCTTTAATATGTCACTTTGAACATATTATAATGATTGAAAAATTGAAAGCGATTTTCAAGGTTTCAAATATTCTGGTATTTGCAGAGGTCATATCTTTACCAATAACAATGGAGTACTGCATTGCTATTCCTAATGCTGACTAAGGTTTCTTGGACTACGTATTCAGGTACATCTAATATTATTGAACGGAATACACTCTTCCAAAAGAATTTGATTGCACAGTAGTGAGTATGTTTGCATGCACTGTAAATTCTTAATTTACTCAATGTACCACCAGTTTCTTTATGCTGAAAAATATAACATATTCTGATGATGCTTTAAAATTCTATATGCTCAAATCACATTAGAAACACTTCTGTTGGAGAAATTGTACAGTCTTGGTTTTATGCTGGTAATTGTGCTTTTCAGCTAGTCTAAATCTATGTACCCGGTATTCTAAAGCACTAGTGCATATACATTTTAAACAAGTACAATTTCAAATAAATCAATAATTCTGTGTCTTTGTAACATTATCTATCCTTCGGTACAAAACTTCCTCAACGACATTAGCTAAGATAACTAAAATCTAAGAACTCAATATCTTCCGATCAAAAGGAAATGCACCCTCAACATAACAAAGTAAGGTAAAGCAATATTCGACTGTGCTTCAAAAATGAAGCATCATAATTATTCATCTAGGAATTTGAGAAGTACAGCATCATGATAACTGTAGTATGTTTGTAATCGTTTGACTTCAGGCTGTAAGGAGCTGGATACATAGGCATGATCCAAAATTGTTCCCCCTTCAGTGGTGCTAAATGATACAAGTTGTCTGAAGTTTTGATCTCTCATAAATCTTTGAAGTGGACCGTTAGATTTTGCATCCTCGTTAAAATCACCCAAGATGACACTGTCTTGGTCTTTAATTTTTAAGTAGTCAAAAACTTTCTGAAGACTGTATAGGAATGTTGCCATTTTGGCCATGCATGGGCGATATACAGACAGCAACAAAATATTTTCCTTAATTAATTTTACAGCTATTCCTTCAACATTCATCTTGGACAAAGGAAGAATATCATAACATTCTTCTTCATCTTTCAAATACAATCCAACACCTCCACCCTTTGACATGTGTAAACTCTGATTTAAAGCAGTACTTTCTTCATATGCTTCTTTTCTAGGTAAATGATGAAACTGAAACCCATGAAGTGCATAATTCTCTGTGTTTTCCCCAGGTCTTAACCATGTCTCTGTTAAACAAATAATGTCAGCCTGATTGAACCTGGCATCATTTTGTAGATCTCCAAAATGGCTGCGTAAGCTCTGTATGTTATGCAGAACTATTTTCTTCCCACTGGAAAGTAAAGTTTCTGAAATATCATCAAATGTAACTCTTGGCATTTCGTCTAATGCTGTCTTTACTTCTGGGTCAGCATAAACATTTTTCTGTAATCGAGATGGATCTTCTGTATCAATAAATAGACCGGCCTTTGAAGTAACCCTTGACAATGCGACATAAGCTTGGCCTGGAGCAAAAGCTTTATCTAAATTTACCACAACTTTGTCTGTTGTCATCCCTTGCACCTTATGAGCTGTACATGCCCAAGATAACCGGAGTGGAAATTGATGTCTTACTACTGTTGTTACCTTGTCCTTCATCTCTTCTTGCACTCTTTCTATGAACACTATGTTTCCATTCCTTGTACCTTGTCCTGACTTCTTCCCAACTTCCTTATTATCAAAAATTACTCCTACAGTTCTAACAATTCTGTCACTGTTTTCTTCAAAATCAAACTGACAAATATGCCCCATTACTCCATTCACGAGTCCATCTTCCACATTGCAGTTTCTTGTGAGCATTACCCTTGCATGGACGGACAATAACAATGAGCTTGGAAGGCCATCGCTTTTCGATCTTGTTACGGGTTTGTTTCTAAGTATCAGTTTACCAGATGTTTTGTCCTTTTTATAATCTTGAGCGTCAATTTCCAATAAATCTTCACAAGATCTCTTCAACATTGACAGATTGAATGTGTTAACCTCCTCATTGGTAGAAAACACATGAAGAACATCTTCTGGTCCTTCCCTGATACAGTCTTCTAACATAATACTTTGCTCCTGTGTCAATGGTTCATCTCTCTCTCTTACACGAAGGGAATTAAGAACCTCAGCAAAAGACAAATCTCCTTTTTGTCTCATTATCCCTTTTAACTCAATGACCTTAAATAAGTCGAGCCAGTAGTCCATAGGATAACTCATATTTTCTTTGTAAAGCCTTTCATCTTTCCGCTGCTTAACGGGAGGTAGCTGAAAAAAGTCCCCAACGGCAATAACACAAATTCCTCCAAATGGTTCTCTGCATTTCTTAATCTGCACCAGCCTTTCGTGTATGTAGTACAGGAGTCTTTTGTAAACCATTGATATTTCATCAATGATAAGAATCTGAAGATCCCCTATCTTTACTCTCAATTCACTGAGACTTTGTTCTCCAAGTGGTTCATAAGGCAAAGGGAGATATTTTGTTAATGAAAATAAGTGGTGGAGTGTATTTCCGCCAATGTTGAAAGCTGCCGTTCCTGTGAATGCCGCAAGAAGTACTGATACCCTGTCAGGTTCAGATATTATTCTTGAAAGTAAACGTGATGTTTCATAATGAATTGCTTTTATGAGATGACTTTTACCAGTGCCTGCACCTCCAGTTACAAATAAATGTAAGGGTTCACATTTCTCCCCTGCAATCTTTGCTAGACACCAGTTGCGCACCAGGTAAAATATTTCACTCTGCGTTTCATTCAAATTCTGAAGAACAGGTAACATTTCCCCTCTTGAAATTACATTTTGTTGAACATGATACATGACATCTGCATTATGTGTCTCACTTTCAATATCCGGTAATATATCCACACTATGCTCCTGTGGCACTGCATTTTCTTTTCTCTGTGCTATACCTTCCCTTCTGAGAACCTCTGTTTCTGGACATATGCGTGACCATGCATCTTCGGGTTCACCATTCATCTCATATGCTTCCTGAGCATTGTCAATAACATCTTCATTTTTTGCATACCGTGAATGATTGAAATCCACAATTGACTTCACCGATTGCTTTTGTTTTCTGCCAGAAATTTTCACATAACCCGTTTCATAAAAATCTTCATATAAATCAAACCCTGGTGGTTTCAAATGTGCTTCTGTCCAGTAAGGAAGAAAAAGTTGCAGAAGAGATTGATGATATTTTTCTGACATTTTCTCAGCATTGAACCTAGGATACCTTACAATAGCAGATTGTGTTCTTGTTCTCAGTTGCACATAACCTTTCCCATTCTGTAATTCAAACACATTTTGATTTTTCTTCTTAGGAACTTGAGAATTAGCAAGCACTCTGAATTCAGAACAAAATTCTGCAAGGCACATTTCATGAAAAATTGGCTTATCTGGCCGGTTCATGTAACGTTCAATGACGTTTGTCATCCAAACTTCATTCTCGTCATCGTCCTCCTCATCAATTATCTCTTCATCCTTTGATGCTTTCTTCCTCAGCACCGACAGCGGCTTACTTAAGCGCACTGGGTTGTCACCTACAGGTACAAAAACAACTTTCCTAGAACATTCCTTCATCTTCAAGTTACACACTCTGTATACAGCTTCTTGTGCACTTACTTCTCTGTGATGCAAGTAAGCTGAACCAATTTTTTTCATCGTCTGTCTGGCATCAAAATTTCCTTCCTCGGCCTCTAACTTTGTTTGTTTAAGTAACATGCCCATTTCCCTTTCTGACTTTGATATATAGGAAACAATATAAACAATACAACTGAATGGATCCAGTACAAACTGTATGTCCATATTAGCATCCCAGGATTTTAACAAACATCGGTTATACTGGTTTGTCCACACCTCATTTGGACAGCGCTTGAGTATAACTGATCTTTTTGCTGATAATATGTTATGGGCCTCTTCGTACAGTTCCTGGGTCAGTGACAGATCATCAAATAACTCTTCTGTTGTTATGATTCCTTCTCCTTCATTCTGCAATCTATCCCAAACACTTAGTAATATATCTTTTGCATATGCCTTGTTTACCTTTGCCTCTTTTCCACACTCGTCTGCGTTCTCTTCCTCTTTAGCAGTTGTAATGAAAGTCTTTTCAGATGGAGGCCTCGGGAAATTAAACCTACATTCTGTACCTTTCTTTTTACAAGATTTTGAATGTTTCTTACTGTGCTGTTGTACTTCCAAGACACTTTTTCTCAATTCTGCATCACCACTTTCTGATGGTACAGCACATGTCACATATCGGTCAATGAAGTTACATACAGCTTCCTCTCCATCAGAATCAATATTGGGTGCATTTTCAACCCAGTATAAACAATGCATGTGGGGAGATCCCCTCTGTTGAAACTCAACTCTCTGAAAAAAGTCTATTACCTTTCCTATTGGTTTTGCTGGGGAAAGTATGACCTCCTTGTGAAATATTTGAAATCTATGTTCAAACATTCTAGCCACTGTAACTGGATTGCACCTTAAAACATCATTCTTTTCTGACCATTCCATTTGATCTGGGTTTCTGTCATCGTTTTGTTGTTGTAATATAGCTTTGACAGCATCATTCCATCTGTACTCCGCTGCAGAAAATGAACAGAACCAAGTAGGGATTCCTAATTGGCGAAGCATAGCAAAGAGGTCTTTCTGCGCAGTTGCCCAATAAGCAGGAGTTCCTCTAATTGGTTGCATAAACCTTACAGCATCATCATTCCTCAGCAAACTAGAGAGAGTAACTGGATCTTGCAGCATATTAAGTGTTACTGGTTTCCCACTGGTACATTTTGATAGAGATTTTCGGAGTGAAATTTGAGTTTTCTCAATTACTTGATTCAATTCAGACATGTACTGGCTAAAGAAAATGTAATTGGTATCCTTGGCAAACCTGTTATCTGCATTCATTAACCTATTATTGAAATACCTAGAAAGTGTTAATTTCTCTGACCTTTCTTCATTCCAAGAAAAACGACCACTTGGAAAATGACAAGGAAATGCCTTAGCTTCATTGCCAGGTTCTTGTAACATTCGAATTGGGTTTTTCCCTTCACCTGGTGCAATGTTGTACACGTCATCAAAATAATGGTCTAAAACTTCCTGTGCAATATCAACAGGTTGTAAACATGTGTCAAATGCAACCATTTCCTCGTCCATTTCTGCATTATCTTCTGTATTAACTACATCTCTTGGCATATCTTCATTACTCTCTAAATCTTCTTCCAAAGTTGATTCAATTTTTACATCCTTATACCACTGATTGTTTTCTTTTAAGTATGTTAAGGCTGACATGACATGGTTTGTATTAACAAATTGATATTCAAAGTAGCCTTTATAATTCAACTTCCTTTTTAATTTCACACGCAGCAACAAATTTTCATCCTGTTGCATTGGTAAACTGGCAGTCTTTCTCATATCTGAAGGCACACAAATAACAGGTCCATGTACATTTCTTTGCCCACCATGGGGAAGAGCCATAACCTTCATAAATGGTATGTGAATCGCAATCAGATGCTGTTCTAAACTGTTCAAATTTGTCAATTCAGATGGAATATCTTCCAGAATCAAACTGTTGGCTGCAGCCTCAGCTGGTGCTTTGCCACTCAATATTTTTCTGTGACAAGTGTAACAAATCCATAATGATGATTTGGTGCATGCTTCTGGACAATATTCAGAACATTCATGCAAATACTTGTCTAGCAAACAAATGTCAGAGATAATTCTTGCTGATTCACTTTTTTGGTACATCTGATGTTCACAACTTTGAACTTGATTTTTAAACAGAAGCCTATGGCAACAAGTACAAGCATAATCTGGGCCCTCCATTGCATTTCTCTTAAACAATCCGATAACTTCCTCTTCCTGTTCCAAGTTCAATTGCTTCATTCTCCTATTTTGTCTTACACTCTCCTTTTTCTTTTTCTTCACTTCTGCAGATGACTGGTAACTAGCCTTACTACGTTTCTTTGCTTTTGACTGAACTTCCTTATCAGCTCGATATCTCTTTGCAGCTCTTTCTTGCACATTTGCTTTAAAAGTTTCATTTGTACTATATCTATGAATATTAGCAGCTTTGTTTTTCATCCTGTAAGTTTCATCTGCTTTGTATTTTTTCATGACCCTCTCTTTTACAATAGTCTGATGTTCCAAGTCTGTCTTGTACTTTTCACTGCTTCTTCTCTTAACATTTTTCTGATGTTCCAAGTCTGTCTTGTACTTCTCAGTACTTGCCTTCTTGACTTTTTTCTGATGTTCCAAATCTGTCTTGTACTTCTTAATGCTTGCCTTCTTGACATTTCTCTGATGTTCCAAATCTGTCTTGTACTTCTTAGTACTTGCTTTCTTGACACTTTTCTGATGTTCCAAATCTGTCTTGTACTTCTTAGTACTTGCTTTCTTGACATTCTTCTGATGTTCAAAGTCTGATTTGTACTTCTCAATACTTGCCTTTTTGACATTTTCCTGATGTTCAAAGTTTGTCCTGTACTTTTCTTTGCTCTTTTCTTTTGCTTGTTCTCTGTGCTGAGTATCCAACTTATATTTTTCAACACTCTTCCTCTTCTTTTCCTCTCTATGATAGAAGTCTATAGAGTACATTCGTTTACTTCTTTTCCTACTTGTCTTTTGTACTTGTTTTCTGTGTTCTGAATCTAAAGCATATTTCTGAATACCTTGTTCAATCAGTTTAGACTGGTAAGCAATATTATCATGATATCGTTCTTTATTTTTCATCTGTGTCTTCAGCTTAAAGTCTGCATTAGAGTACCTGTTTTTCCTCTGTTCCAACATTTTTTCCCTGAACCCTTCACTTTCCCTGTACTTTTTCCTAAATACGTCTTTGCGATTTTCTTTTGAGCTTAATGCCACTTTCAATTCAACAGTATTACGTTTTTCTTGCATTCGAATTCGGTTCACTTTACGCAGGTTATATTCTCTCTTACAAGACCTGTTTTTAATGACTGAATCAATTTCAGATAGCCCTGCTGATACATGTAAAACAACATCATAATGGTTTTGCTGTCTGTGATATAAATAAATAGCTTCCTTCTGTTCAAGCAATTCAGGATATGAACCCTCTCCACTAAACTTAAGCCACTTCATATCTGAATAAGTATAAATGTCTACATTCAACATATGGGACATTGCAAGAATCTCCAATTCAGTGGCCCATATACCCTCATGTGACATTTTACTAGAAAGTAAGTAAGACCTTAAAGATCCCTCAGATCTCATAAACTGTTGAAATTTTGCTTCATGTTTCAGCAAATGTTTACAAACGGCTTCACGAATTTGTTGGTGATGATTCTCTGAGTTTGTCAGACTGAACGATATTGCCCTGAAAAAGCAATTTCCATCCCTTTCAATATCTTTACAATCACTAGGTGTATCCATGTCTTTCACAGACACAGCATCATGTTGATGTCCAGATACAGAATACGACAGTCCCAACTCTTTGCATAATTCCCTTCGTTTCTGTACAGACAATGGAATAAAATCATGTCGTTCGATTTCCTCACCCATAAAAATTACTTCATTTGTTTGCAATACCTCTGATTGATCTGACATTAGGACATCTTGCCTTGAACCTGATGGTTTTTCAGTTCCTTCAACCTCATAAACTTCTGCCATAGCAAAATCCTTCTGTGAACACAACACTCCAGTTAATTCACATTCAACAGTTCTTGAAAAACCCATAGAAATAGCCAATGACTTAAGATGCAAATAAACGTCCTGAACATCCTTCAACAAAATTCTTGTACTCTTCCCTCTAACACTAAGATATCCACGAGAGCATCGTGCATGTGAATCAAATGAAAAAAAGCCATCATTTGTTTTCCCAATTAGAAGGGTATTTCCCCCAAAACACACAAAACACCCATTTGTCTCGCTAAGTGCCATTTGCACAGCTTCAAAAAGGGGATAAGCATTGAAATCTTCATAACATGGCTCCTCCTCCGATAAGGTGATTAAACTAGGGACAAGTATCTTCACTGTGAAGTCAAATGTTTTGTTATAGCATTCAAAAAACTGAGGCAACTCTTCCACTAACAAATACCTACTTGTAATTGAGGAACTCTGCTGCAGGTATGTGTATAGTTCATCTCCAGTGACTAAAACTTTGTTTATATCAGCTGTTTGCCAAACATTCGCACTCTTCAGAACATTATAAGCTAAGCCTGCTAAACAATTTGCTACACATTGTGTTCCAGCAGTATCACCAAACATTGGGTCAGCCTGATGAAAAGAGCCCTGAATACTCACACAATACACAGTTCTGTCTTCCCAGTATGTACTTTCCTCATTAACACCATGTTGCATACTAATACTTCCACCGTGTTTGTTTTCCATTTTCATATCTTCATTATTCCGAATATCATCATATCTTTCCTCACTGACAATTTCATTTCTTTCTTTCATATTTTGTACAGGGTCACATTCATCTCTTGATTCTCTGACACTTTCTATTATCTCTATACCATTTCTAAATTCTACATTCTCAAACATATCTCTTTCTTTTCTCTCATTTTCTACAATATCATGTTTTCTGTTCAACAGTCCGTTTATATTACTTAGAGAATCCGTTTTAATATCGTTAAAGTAGCCCTCATCTTTTAGTATCCTGCTGGTCTCCTCCTCCCTGGAGGTATCCAGCTGCGCCTGACCTGCTGGATTAGGCATATGCACTATGCCCGCTCCAGGTACTCTCGGTGGAGTACAAACCCACGGTGGGGAGTCAGGGGACGGTGCCTTGCCCTCGTTATGGACAAACAGACGACTTCCCAGAGGAGATGGCAACCTCTGGGCATTTGAGTACATTTTCTCTCGAAGAGAGGCCTGCACCCTGGCCAAGGGTTTTCCCTCAATAGGAGGCAACCCTATAGAGCCTTGCCCTGGAAAATTACCAGGAGGAGCTAAATCAGCTCCATCTGCTGTCCCAGAAAGGACAACAGACTCTGCCTCTGAACCATCTGTACCATCTGGTAATTCTTTGGGATGTTGTTCCCTCTTTTTTCTTTTTCTTAGCTTGTCAGCTAACAATCGCTTTCTGACAGACAATTTCTTTGCCTTAACCATCTGCAAAATAAACTAAAACTGATTAAAGAGAGACCAGTGATCTTTTTGTATTGGACAAAAGCTGTAATGTCTCAGTCATATTCACTAACTGGAAATTTGACATCTTACATGGACCCAAAGTATAGTTTTGAAGAAAATCTTGATTCTTCTATCAAGAATCTTGAAATTTTAAACTTGACCTATAAGTAAGCCCAAAGTATGTCTTTCGTTTACTAATCTGCAACTGTTAGTAAACACAAAATCATAAAGACTTGCTGCATCAATAAAGTATGGACAAACACCATTATCTTCATCTTTTAACTAACTTTAATGATGTGATCCTATAATACATAGATATCTTTTTTCAAATCAAAACTTGTCTATTTAGTGAATATAAACTCATTAGTTGAAGAAAAAGTAAATTCGGCACATAATAAAAATCAATCAAAAGCCTGAAAGGCTTCAACGGCGTCGAACATGAAAAACAGTTTCAAAATTTCTTTTGATTTAAATATGAAATTGTAAACAAAATAACACAATTATAATTATGGGGCCTTATGCCATAGTCCGAATTGAGTGGGGTGCGAATCAACCAGACACCGTTGAAAATAAACAAACATGGACGCCCGTTCATGTTGTTCAATCATTTCAGTCAGGTTTAGAAATAGGAACGATTTAGTCTGATTTACTTTCATATTACTCTATTTGTCAATGTCTAAGCATCACTTTTTCAGTATTTTCAGCTTACACAACATTTTCAGTGACTGCACCTTGCTACGAGATAGGATCGGGTTTGGTTTACCATATACTATGACACCAGTATTGCAGTAATTGAGGTCAATTTCGATAAATTATACCTTCAGTGTAAGGGTGAAGGCTTAACTTTACAGTTCAGTGTCTCTAACCTTCTACTTCATGTATAGCCATCAATGTAGTTTCGTGCTTATTTTATAGCTTTATTGATTATTTTCTTTTTTACATTGTCTCCTTCCAAAAACAGTTATTTATGTAATCCGAGGCACCGTTGTTAAAAATTCATCCGCAGCAACTCTCAGTATGCTGTGTTTCCCCCTTTTTCTTTTGTAAGAATAAATAGAGTATCTGTATTTTTAAACAAAATTAATTGCACATATAACGGATGCAATTTTATTTGCAAGTATTTCACTGTGACCATTTTGAAAAGAAAAGATATGTACTATTTTCTTTTGCGGATGCATCGACTGACACCTTCGGTAGCGTAGAAGTTGAAGGACGCTGACTAGTATGGCTTCGACATTCGGTCGACGCCATAACTAGAGGTATTGAGCAAGCTCTCAAAATTACATCAATAATACAATTTTTTACAGTGTCCATATAGAATTTTCTAACTGTGACTGTGAATTTGCAAAAATGACCTTGGATAAAAATAATGAAAGATCCTCTGCATGGTCATAAGTAATCTTTGAGTGAAATATGAACATCCAATGTTTCTTCATTAGAAAGCTTTGGACATGGCAGGAATTTTACACTTTTTCTGTCAGTCACCTTACACTTGCAAGAATGACATCGGGTTAAAGTTATGATATACCCTCAGCTCATGAGTAGTCTTTGTTTGAAGTATCAACTTCTGATACTTCTTCAATAGTAAGTTAAGAACTGGATACAAGTTTTATACTTTATCGACCAGTGGCCTTTAACTTGCCAGACTTATCTTAGGTCAAGGTCATGACAAACCAGTCATATGTGTGAAGTACAAACTTCCAATGTTTTCCCATTTAAAAAAATTATAGACTGGACACAAATTCAATATTTTTTTTTGCCAGTGACATTTAACTTACCGAATGACCTTGAGTAAAAATCATGAAAAACCCTTAAATCATGAGCAAGCATCAACTTCCAATTAGCATTAAATTAGAGAGTTATAGATCACACATGAAAAATACTTTTCCTGTCCTGAGACCTTGAACTTGTAAGAATGACTTTGGGTGAAGGTCAGTACATAACCTCAGATCATAAGCAATTTCTGTGATGAGTATGAACTTTTAATGTTCTCCATGACAAGATATGGTATGGGGAATTACACATTTTCCTAAAAGTCACTTTGAACTTGATAAAATGATTTTGGATCAAGGTCATGACACACCTTTAGATCATGAGCAATCTTTGTATGAGGTATGAAGTTGCAATGTTTCTTCATTAGGAAGTTGTCAGTCAGACACAACTTTTAATTTTTTTTACTGCTGACCTTGAACTTGCCGGAATGACCTTGAATCAAAATCATGACACACCCTCAGGTCATAAACAATCCTTGTACCAAGTATGAACTTCTAACGTTTCTCACTAGCAAAGTTATGCCCTGGACAGGAAAAATGCACTTATTCTGCCAATGACCTTGAACTTGTAGGATTGACCATGGTATCATTTATGTAGTAAATGTGAAAACATTTGGTCTCAAGATCCTAATGCTGATGCATCACGTAAAAGATTCACAGATGGTCACAGTGATTACTATATGTATTTAAATCATAGATGTGTATTTTTAAGGAGACACTCAAATCCTGTTTGGGTAACTTTTTCTTCATTTGGCGAGTCAATGGGTATCAATGTTGTAAACACAAATGCATAGTCAAAAGCATAATCATTATCATTTAAATCCAAGTATTTTTCAGATAATTATTCTTAAAACTCATGTGCACTTAGGAAAACCTAATACATATATTCATATTGACTCATATAAGAACATGATCTCGTTTTCTAAAATGTAAAAGAACACAAAACAGTGTTTGACCCTTGGCCTTTGACCTTGTGACCTCAAAATCAATAGGGGTCATCTTCTCCTTATGCAGGACCAGGGTACTAAGACAATTTCTTTTATGTCCAGAGTACTTTGACCTTGACCTTGTGACCTCAAAATCAATAGGGGTCATTTACCCCTTAGGGTGTACCAGTGTACCAAGTTTGATGTCTGTCAAGCAAAGGGTTCTCCAGACATAGACCAGACAATATCTACTCATGTCTAGAGTAGTTTAAACTTTAACCTTCTGAGCTCAAAACATAGAGGGGTTACCCACTGCTTAGGGGATACCAGAGTACCAAACTTGATATCTGTTAAAGCTATACATGGCATATCTGAGCTAAAAAAAATTTTTCATGAATTTGACGGCAGATATGTGTTATAAATGTTAAAATTTTAACTTTTCACACTCTTAATATGGATAGCCCAGTGTTTCTATAGTTACTTGGCTATAAACTTCACTGTATTTGTGTTGAATATCAATGGGATCCACTATTTTAAACATCACTGTGCATGAGCATGGGAAAATACAGCATATGAGCCACAATGGAAGAAGTGTTGGCCTAACAGAATCTGGTTTTTATCTCCGCATTTTGGTATCTATCGGTAAGTGGGAATTGTATCCTTGAAAATTATTAAGATGGAATAAAGATTTGCATTCTTTACTTTGTAATTAACTATTCGTTCCATTGTCGTTAATAGTTTAGACTCAAGTGCAATTTAATGTGGAGTTATTCAAATCTCTTTTTCTGTGGAGATCAAAAATACATATGTATTTGATTTATATTTATGATATCCTTGAATGCCTTTGCGTTTAATTCTGTAATTCACAAAATAATGTCAACCTTTTTACACAGATTTCAAAGATTTCTTATTCCCAATATTTGATGTGCTCCTCCTATGCTATAGTTATTAATCAGAACGAATAAAACATCATATATTTCTGAACTGGTCATGTTGGAGTAACAAATGCACAATCTGCAGCTTTGTTCATTGTATATTTAATGCCTGACAACAATGCTACTGCCTAATAAAACATCCAATTACTAAATTAAAGATTTGAAAAAAACTTGAATCTACACTACCTGAGGATGCTTTGCAATAATATGACTAATCAAAGCTTTGCTGTTCTTGAGAAGAATTTTTTTTTAGATTTCCTATAAATTCCTGTGTATAACTTTGAACCCCTGTTGTGGCCCCACAGCCACCCTACCCCCAGGGGTCATGATCTGAACAATCTTGAATTTACACTACCTGAGAATGCTTCTGTATTAATATAACTAATTATGGCTTTGCTGTTCTCGAGAAGATGAATTTTAAAGAATTTTCCTATATATTTCAAAGTAAAAATTTGTTCCCTTATTGTGGGCCAACTTGAAGCCCACTCTACCCCCACGGGTCATGATTTGAACAATTTAGAATCTACACTACCTTAAGAAGCTTTCATATAACTTTCACTTTTTCTGACCAAGTGGTTCTTGAGAAAAAGATATTTTAATCACCCAACCCTATTTTTGCCTTTCCTTAATTATCTCCCCTTGGAAGAGGGCCTGACCTGTCATTTCAACAATTCAGAATCCCCTTAATTTAAGGATGCTTTGTGCCAACTTTGGTTAAAATTGGGCCAATGATTCTTGAGAAGAAGTCGAAAATGTGAAAATTTTACAGATGGACAGACAGACAAATGGACAGACAGATGGATGCCGGACAACAGGTGATCAGGAAAGCTTACTTGATTTTCAGCTCAGGTGAGCTAAAAATTAAAAACAGACTTAGTGCTACAAGAATTTTCACATAATGGGAGAATTGACTGGTAACTACGGACTTGGCCTAAGGAGACCTCGTACATGAAATTTCACCCCACTCTATGGTTAAACTTCAGTTTGAAAGAAAAGCCATTGAACATATGCACCCAAAATGTATAATCACTACTGAATAATACCACACTGTTATCCTTTATACAATATACCTGTTGATTAAAAATCTTAGACTCTGAAAGGTTTCATATCTATTGGAACACACTGGAGAATTAAAAACAATATAAAGAATAAATCGTTTAATATTTTCTCAACTACATTTAAGAAACATAATTATATGATATCCAAGTCAATTGGAAAACTGACCACACAATATTTTAATTCTACCTTTGTTAAACCAAAAAGAAGTACTAAATTTCTTCCTTCAAACTGCCTATTATTGATCCCTGAATAAAAGGTCATTAAGTTAAGAAGTACTCATGAGATCATGC